AAATTATCTTGCGGTTTCAAAATAAAAGCTCAAACCCTCACTCTGAGTTTACACGTTTTGATGTCCACATAATTAATTAAATTACAGTGGCTATAGCATTTTTGTCGTAAAAATAACATGTTCTTTAAAATTGTTGTTAATCGATTAATCGGCAAATTAGTCGATAATCAAAATAAAAATAGTCGTTACCAGCCCTAATGTAAAGCTCTTCATTTCACAGATTTTCCTCTTCGAAGTATGTTGTTTCATTGATTGGTCCCATGTATTGACTGAAACATTGAGCTGTTACACACAGACTGGTGCAAGGTTTCTCTTTGATATGTACCTGCGATCATAAAAGCAACAAGCATTTGATGAGGTGAGGAGAAGCTTCAAAACTCCTTATTTCTGAAGAAGTTGAAAGGGAATCAAAATCACCAATGACTGATTTGAGCAAACTAACTCACTCGAAACACAGAGTCCTGAATTACATGTCAAGAACACCTAAAAACTAAAGAAGAAAGCAAAAAATAACATTGCACCGTAACATTGTTCTCTAGAAAAAAAATCTTAACAACCTTTTTTTTGTGACAGTCTTCATGGTCAGCTAGAGGTTGGATAGATATTTGTACAGAGGATTTTTTTTTCTACTAGCCTACCGACAGTCAAGATGGCAGTCCAAATTCCCCTTTCAACCACTGAAATGGGAAAATGTGTTTCAGTGTGATCGGTTTTCGGCGGACTAACACAAACAAATGCCTGTTGCCATCAGATAAGATGGATAGGACAACTGCCACCCACCTCTTTGGGGGTGTAAATGGGGACACCAACACCAGGCCCTGCAGAGAGGAATACTTCTCAGTCAATATGTGGCAGGAAAGTGGAGAGAAATGTCAGAGGCAGTGGTTTAGTCCATTTTTATCCGGTAAGGGGGGTAAGAAAAGGGTGAGGTTGTGACATTCCCTACCAAAATGTTGGCTAGTGGAACTTGCCAGGTCATGTCACAAAAAATAATAAAAATAATAAAAATACTACATATCATTTACTCCTCAAACTTAACACAACTGCAGCACATCCACTCCACATTCATTTAGAGAATGGTTAAAGGATGTCTGTTTCACAACAATTCATAGAAACTCTCTTATTAAGATACAAATTAATGCAAGGGTGATAGTTCAACCATCTGGTGTCATGTTTGGACTGTAATCGGAATAATGCCTACGTTATACTGAAAGTGAACAGCAACTAATGCAGACCTACAACTCTAAAAGCCACTTACTAACAATGCAAATGAATTCCACACAAAGGAGGAAGGGTGTGCCAAACAAGGGGTCAAGGTTAGGCAACTGGTAGATGCCGCATCTACACCATCTGGATCCAAAGAGTCTTTCTTCATGGACAGCCTTTAAAAAGAGCACTGTATTCTGAAGTAATGCATTTTCTGCAAGCATATAATTGGTAAAATCTTGTGATTTTACAGTAGTTGTTATCCAGACCGTAAAAGACCTTCTGGATTTGAAGAATGAACTAAACCAGACCCTCTGCAGCAGGACTTCATTCATTTTTCATTGTTTATTTTCATCTGTACAGATTCACAATTGTCATTGCCATCCCATTTCTACATTACTAAAATCTTAATCATCCATGACGTCACTGACACTGACAGAAAAAAACAAACAAAAAAAACAATCCACTGAAGTGACTGCTGTTCATATTCAGCTTTTCTGTTGCATATTGCTTTAATTCAAACCCATTGTTTTGGTTTGCTCATTACTATATAAAAACTACCGCCTGTGCCTGTTTCTTGTTATCACAGTCATTTGTTTTCAATATTGTTTCCATCATTTGTGCCTTTAAATATTCAGAAACAGGGTAGAAGTATACATGACATGCATAACGAAATACACTGCATAATTGTGCAGAATGTTACATATACTGTAAATACTGTACATAGTTTGTGTCAGACTTTGTTCTATGTTTTGTGAGTGTTTTTGCTCCCCATGTGCTCTGCTACCTAGTTTTCCCGCGTGTTTGATTGTTCATTGTTTCCAGGTGTGTCTCCTTATTAGTTTATCCTCCTCACCTGTCTGCCCCTCGTTATCTGCCCCATTTACGTTCTAGCCTGTGCCATTCTCACTTGTCCGGTATTGAATGTTCATCTTGTGCTGCATGTGTTCCTGTCTGCCATGTATAGCCCGTGTTGGAAGGATTAAAGACTGTGTTTACTGCGAATTCTCCTGTGTCTCCTCATTCCTCAGTGTAGTACAACCATGACAGAATACCGGACCAAAAAAGATGACTGCAGCTGAGGACGCGCTGTGAGGTTTGCAGCAGGGCGGTCTGAGGTTGGAGCGATATGTGGAGGATTTTCTCGAGCTCTCTAACCGCGTGAGCTGGCACAACGCCGCTCTAGTTGCGTGCTTCCTGCTGGGGTTGGATGACGAGATAATCCGCTGTGATCTTCCTACGTGAGATTTTTCCCTTGATCGAGCTGATTAATCTCGTGCTGTTCTTATATGGTTCAGATTTCGAAGTTGAAGAAGTAAAGAAACTTCCCAAGCCTCGTCATCTAACTCCCGCTGGAACGCGCCGCGTCTCCCCAGCTCACCCCACGCCGAGAACCTCCACATACCACTCCAACGGCTCCTACCGCCTGCCCAACCCCAAATTCCCCGCTGTCCTCCGAAGCTCCACCCTAGTCATCAGCCCAGTACGGCCGGCCGCTCCCCAGTCAAGTCCACCGGCCGCTAGGGATGGGCGATATGGGCTTAAAAATATATAAACGATATTTCTGGTATTTATTACGATAACGATATCAATGACGATAATTCAGGGAATCCTGTTTCTTTTAAGAAAAGTATTATCTTTCCTATTTTTACCCAAAATAGGGTGTTGAGTCCCGATGTCCTCTACCAAGGACGTAGCATAACTTATGAATGAAATATCAGTTTTGAATTTTTTGTTTACATTTTTTTTAATGCTCTAAACAATGTAATCACATCAAAAAATATATAATACTATCATTCTGTAATATGAAACCACGTCTGGTCACAAAAATAAGTATTTCAAACACTCGACTATGTTATTAAGTTAATTTGGGCACTGTCGCACACAGAAATATGTCAACAACTAGACTTTATCGTTATTATCGCAGGAAGACTAATTCTTATCGTGGGGAGAATTTTTACCGGTGTATCGCAAACGATAATATATCGCCCATCCCTACCAGCCGCGGCTCTCTCCAGCCCGCCGGCCGTTCCGATGTCAGGCCCGCCGGCCGCTACGAAGTCAAGCCCGCTGGTGGCGGCTCTCTCCAGCCCGCCGGCCGCTACGAAGTCGGGCCCGCCGGCCACTACGGAGTCAAGCCCGCCGGTTACCGCAATGACAAGCCCGCCGGCTGCCCAGTTCACCCGTACACCACAGTCATTGCATGCTTTGCATGTACTGCCCCATTAACCCCCACCCAGGGCTGGATTGGTAATCGGCATACCGGGCATTTTCCCGGTGGGCCGACGAATTTAAGGGGCCGACAGAATGTTGTTTTGCCGAAAACCATCACGCAGGGACAGCGAGCAGCCAGTGGCCCATTGGTTTGTCTCCTGTATTGACAGCGTAAACATCCAATCACAATGCGCTATAGACGGAGCGATGAAGTATTTTGCTCCGCCTATATAAAGATCGCATCACCCCAACTTCTTCCTCGTCGGCATTTCCCACGTTTTCACAACAGATTTATCAAGAACAGGCTTGCTCTGCGGTGAGTGATGCGGGCCAAAGAGCAAGGCAGGAGGAGAAGAAGAGAGTAGTTGAATTGGTAAAGTGCTTGATAGGGACTCGCAAAGGAGGCAGGAATCTAACCTATCCTAATGTGTGTGCGCGGCTGCGCGCCATGAGTGTATGCGTAAACACTTTTTAATAAAACGTAAATTCGTCCCCCGCGATTTTTTAGCCAAGTCAAGTCAAGTGTGTTCATAGAGGTTTCCATGGGCCAATGCGAATAAAGCTAGATTTAAATAAAAAAA